AGACCGGAATCTGATGTTCAAGTGAAACGATGTGATTGGTCGGCGCAAGTTATGTTTACACAAGTTACGCCGCATGTGACGGCACTATGAATCCAGCATAAGCGTTGCCGGTTCTGTGTACAAGAGTTAATAAATGTAAATAGGAATGCAGTCTATGCGCATGCGTGAGAAAATCCCCTCTCTTTAGTAGCAATATCCGATAGTCGGAGACGTTCGGCCATTTCTGTTCTGTTCGTTCTGGTAAGAGGTTGTTTTCTTCTACGTAGCAAATAAGTAATAACATCTTAACGATATTATTTTTGTTTTAATTAATTATTCGATCGTAATAATTCAAGCGTAATAATGTTTGTGTTTTTATTTTTAATAATTAATTCCGAAATGTTTTCTTCGTTGAATCATGGCCACGTGGTGGGCATGCCGATGTCCGAATTTGTAGAGTTATTAGATTCAAAAGTCGTTCGAATCTCTTTTTTCTCTATATATCTACTATATAGATATATAAATAATTTTTACTCAGGTGACGATTTGGCGGTATGGTTAACGGAAGAATTCCATCGGTCTTCTCCAAGACCTACGTCACTCCTAGAAGACCGTACGAGAAAGCTCGTCTCGATCAGGAGTTACGCATCATCGGAGAATACGGTCTCCGTAATAAACGCGAAGTATGGAGGGTGAAATATACTCTGGCCAAGATCCGTAAGGCCGCTCGTGAGTTGCTCACGTTGGAAGAGAAAGACCCGAAACGTCTCTTCGAAGGTTTGTGCTTCATAGCACGTGTTCATTTGTAAATATGCAGTTAAATTAAAGTAGTACACTTTGTATATTTATATAAAATGATGATAATTATATTATGACACCTCTTGTCTGAATGTTTTTGAAGATATGTAAAGGTTTCTGAAAGATTTGAAAAATTTTTGAGAATCATTTAAAATCTTTAAATTTTTTGCAATATATAAGAATATTCTTATAGGAAATGCCTTGCTGCGTCGGTTGGTAAGGATTGGTGTATTGAATGAAGCTCACATGAAGCTCGATTATGTGTTGGGTTTGAAGATCGAGGACTTTCTGGAACGACGTCTACAGACTCAAGTATTCAAACTAGGTCTAGCTAAATCCATTCATCATGCCCGCGTGCTTATTCGCCAACGGCATATTCGGTAAATAATAATAATATGTTTATTTCAGTTAAAAAGATGTTTTTGAGAGAAAAAAAAAGAAAACATTTTTTATTAAAAAAAAATGTAGTTAAGTAGAAACGCCTTAAAAAATGGGCAAGAAGTGGCTGAATTATCCTCACGGCATACTTCTAATCTTTGAGGCAATATTAAATGCCTGGATTAATCACCGGTTAAGGTTATTAAAGTTCCTTTTTCGGCTTCAAACCAGGCTACAGATTTAATCGCGTTATATTTTAAATAAATGATTTTATTTATTTTATTTTTCTAAAATTTGGTCGAAATCGTAAAAAATCAAATATTTTGTAGATATTTAAATATATGTATAATTTATTGATTATTTGATGAAATATTAGAATGTTATTTGCAACGTTTTAAAAAAAAATGTATTTTAGATTGCAAAATTATTTTCTAATGTAAGATTTGATTTTTCGATTAAACATTTTACAATGTGGAAAATCAAATGTTTATATGTTTCCATAAAATAGAAATTTTAATGTATTAATATTTATATAGTGCGATATCACAAATCAAGGTGACAAACGAATTCTATTGCTCAGGTATCAGGACAGTGGCACCTGGTCGATCGGACCTGATTGATTGCGTTCAGTATCAAGAATTTGCTTGTTAACTTAACGAAAATTTTATTCGCGCAGGCCACTTAAGTGTAGTTTATCGACACTTAACGCCTGTTTGAACTATCGAGATTCTTCATTTTCATCAAAAAAAAAGGGGGAGAAGTTCTGGTAGAGTCTTTATATTTTGAAATGAAAGAACTCGCAATCAATAACTGACGCGAGTCCAGGAAGGAATTGAATGATCAATGATGATTTCTTGTTGCAGAGTGCGCAAACAGGTGGTAAATATTCCGTCGTTTATCGTGCGATTAGACTCGCAGAAGCACATCGACTTCTCGCTGAAATCGCCCTTCGGCGGTGGCAGACCCGGCCGTGTCAAGAGGAAGAATTTGAGGAAAGGAAGCGGTGGAGCCGCGCCTGAAGAGGAAGAAGATTAAAATAATTGTTATTATCACCATTTATGATGTCAATAAATGCGTGAAGTGTAATAATCGAAATTGTTGTGCCGTTTTTGTTTTTTGAATATTTTCTGAATATTCCGTTTTATAAAATCGTCACTTCCATATCCTTTCCTAAGAAATAACTCAAGAAATATTTCTGAAAAATGTAATCTAAAATTTAAGATTTCTAATGACTAGAGATATTTAATGTTATTTGTAAATTTGTTGGAGATCTTCCAATTTTATTGTTTTATCTTTAAATTTGAAATTTTATTAAAATCAGAATACTGTCGGAAGAATACTAAACTCGTTTATTCTATAACATCTTTTATTTTTTATTTAATTTTTCTTCCGTTGATTTATAGATTTTAAATATTCTTCTTTTAGTATTTGCAAACAAAAAGTTAAATTTGGACTCTTAAATAATTGTTAAAATTTTATTGCTTTTCAATGTTTTAAATTTTCGTGACGTTAAATTTTAAATATTTTAGAATTCAATATCGACGGAGTACGGAAGCATATATCTGATAAGAGGTGTCACTATAGGCTATACAGAGCTTCTTTGTATCTTTGTTAGTTTAATTGTGTCTTTATTTTATAAATTTCTATTTTTAAAAGGGCATATTAAATCAATATTTGAATATGTCAAAGTTGATTGTTGTTATTTTTCCATGATGCCAATCGATTCCCTCGTTACATTTATTTCATGAGTAGAAATTTATATAACTGTCATAAATATAAACAGATATCAATCATTGCGGATAAGAAAATTACAAGTTACGTAAAAATATTTTATATTGCATATTTTGTTAAGAGTATTATATATGTGAAACGATTAAGATTGAAGATATATGATTATATATGTAATTCTTTTTATGTTATACAGTTATTTATATGAAGTAGTAATTGCAATACAAATTAATAGAGTTTATCTGAATTTTACATTGAAAAATATATGGTGTCAGAAAATAACTCGCGCGGTGCGCGTTTAGTTTAAATAAAAAATTTGTTTACATTCATGTATGATATATAGCAACAACGTATAAAGATTACCGATACTAAAAATAATTAAAATAGAGAAGTGTTTTTCCATGACGCAATTTATTCTTGATGCGAAATCGTATGACGTATTAATATTAATGACGTCACGATTTGCATCTATAAATAAACGTATGGAATGACAAACAATATAAATATATGTGAAAATAAAAATTTATTGTTATAGACAGGGAATTTAGAAAGCAATATCTGTTTTTCTCCTGTCGAAACCATGTTTTAAAAAAATTAATTTAAAAAATTAGTTTTTGCCTTTGTATATATATATATATATATATCCAGAAATGTCAAATCAATCAGAAAATGCAACATGAAAATATGCGTTTTATTATTTTCTTCGATAATATTATTTAAAGAGATATAGATAATTCGAAAAGAAATATGCGAAAATTTTCGCCAATATTCCCTCGTGGAAAAGGTGGTTCCTTAAAGGCGCAACTGCTGGACCATTAAATATCTCCCATCGCGTGTCACCCTCCATTAGAAGTGTCGAACACCCCGAACGACGCTCGAAGGGCTCGTAAAAAGTATCAAGAAAAATTTGTTGGCGAGGGATGCATCGTAAAAGTTAACCTTTGAAGTTGACGAAGCTCCCACTCTCAACGCTTTTATCTTTTTACAATGCAAAAATTATTTCCGTTAGAGAGTTAATAGGAGCAGTTATATTATTGTACGCTGTACTATTTATAATTCTAATATCAATTAATAAATAAATAAGATAAAAAGGAGCGGTCACTAGCTTGTTTGTATTTTTAATTTTATTTTTTATGACGCTTTTCAATATTAATAGAGACATGTCATGCAATTTTAATCTTAAAAATATAATTAATGTTATATTAATATTTAATGTTGAGAGTATGGATGATCACTGTCTCATGTGTGAATATAATATATTGTGATTGTGATTATATATTTTTCAAATAAACTTCGTATATCAAACTGAGCGAGCAATTGAATGCTAACAAACGCGAATAAACAACTTAAAATGACACCGATCACTCTTATTGAAACAGGTTGTTTATTTGCGTTTGTTCGTGATCGTTTAGTACGAATCCGATTTTACTCGAATAATGAATTTCCCACAGATTGATTGTGCAAACGAGTTAATTGAAATGTGCGATATTAATTAACAGTAATCGCGATTGCTATAGTATGGTTACAAATACGAATAGAATAAAATCCTAAAATAATCGAAAACTATATATAAAATAATAAAATAGCAGACAAAACTAGTTCAAAAAACAAAACCATAAAAATTAGAAGTGTTTACAAAGATTTTTCATACATGCTGCTATATTAATTTGATAACGTTGGAAATTTGTTAAACAGTCTTATATGTGTCATTGCACGAAAAGAATTTTATTGGGAAATCTAAAAAAATTTGATCAGATAGAGATCTAAAAATAATTCTGTTAGGTCTTCAAAATCATTATGTACGACAAATTGTATATTCAAATTGGTTGCTAAAAGAGTAAATATTTTTGCAGTATTATTATGTTTTCTATGTAATAATTTCGATGGTCCCACGAAATTATTTTCGAATTTGTATCTGCTCAAATTTTTAAATTTTTAAAATCAGCAAAATTGTTCTTTTCTTTCTGTGTATATTTTACGTAGACATTATTTTATAATTATTATTTTACACAGGTATACACAGTTATAATGAGCAATTCCATTCAAACATTACTCGAGCGGAACGGCAATAGAAAAAAGATCGAAGACTAATGACGTCGAGGATTTTACGGGGATATTTATGATGCGCCGATATCGCCGAAGTATCTTATAGCAACGTCAACGAAATAATGACTTCGAGATATAACGAATTATTCCCGGGCACCCGGCGCCGCGTACATCCCCGCTTTTTTCCCCCCCTGGAATTCTTATAAAGGGAGAGATTACGCGCGCGATCGCACCAGATCCTTTTTCCTTCGGCACCGAGGGGACGAAATCGAACGCCATCGCCATCGCCATCGTCGTCGTCGTCGTCGTCGTCGTCGTCGTCGTCTTGCCCTTCGACGTATCGAAGGCTAACGTTTTGGCGAGATACACCGTCGACTTTATCCCACATGGGGCTGACAGTCCTCGTGATGGATAATAGGACCACCCCCGCACCCTCCCGACCCCGGGGTGTGCGCGCGCTTGCCGTGAGCGTGCAATATTTCACGGCTTATTTACTTTTTGGAGACGTCTACGGTCAACGTGTCGCGACGCCACGCTACGGCGTCGCATAGGCAACGGGGGTGGATTTATGAAATTTTCCTTCTCCTTAACACGACGCACTCTTGATACTCATTTATTTAGGAATTAAGATAAACCGTGAAATTAAATTAATCGACTCATTTAGTACATCAGAGTCCTTTTTTTGTCTATAACTTTTCTCCAGTAATTTTTTATATCTCTAATGTGTAGCTGATAATATAAGTAATTTTTATGCTAGAAGAATAGTTTTGCTGGCAAATCTAAAAATTTGGCTAGATATTTGAAAAAATTTTGTTGGGTCTTCAAAATTATTATGTACAACGTTCAAATTGGTTACTGGACGATCAAAAATTTTTTAGTATTATTATGCTTAAATGTTTTAAATAATAATTTTGATTGTCCAACAGAATTATCCTCGGATCTAACCAAATTTTCAGATTTGCCAGCAAAATTGTTCTCTCCGTATAAAATTATTGTAATATAATGTAATAAACATGAAGTGTAATATTATATAATACATCAAAATGTATTAAAATAAAAAAGAAGAAGATAGGATATCTTCTATCCAGTACTTTGATAATGGAACGCGTTGATTGTTTTTATTTTATTTTATATTAATGAATTTTATGTTTTGAAAAAACTGAAAAACCGTTAAAACCTTTTGAAAAAAAAAAACGTTAATTTTAACGTTGATCGAAATTTTTGTTTTCATGAAAAGTGAGTTACGTGATATGATGATATTAATTGGAAAATCATTCAGAAATATCTTAGGAATATAATAGAATAAGCTTAAAAAGAATGTAACAGATATATAATACATGCCTATAATATTATATTACGTGTTCGATATATAATTCTATTCAATATAATACTAGGAATTCATAGTGAAATTCCGAGAGGGCCAGCGGGACTCGTCGAAGGATTCGTAGGACGAGCTCCTTCGAAGCCTTGAGCCGGTCGTTCCGAATAGCAAGCGATTAAAACGTTCTCTCTCTCGGACACTCTCGCTGATAATTAATTCTGCGTAAATGCGATTTCCGGAAGCGGATTATTTTCCGCGCTCAACGGTACTTAGCACGTATCGCGCGGGTCATTCATAACGCGAGCGCACGTATTTGCATGCGAGCATAAATAATGCAAGGAGAGAATCCTGAATTACGACTCGCCGGAGGGAGGCGTGCCTGTATTTCCGTAAACAACACGGAAATTTCCGGCGTTGCATTTGCCGTGACAAGTGACCGGTCTGGAGGGAACTGATCCTCAATTCACTGCTAAAATGGACCCTTGATTCATATGCAATGGCCGCAGTTTCGATGTGGGAGTTACGTTTTACTCCTCCTCGTTATTAAACGAGAATACACGGAAAGAACGATTTCGTTGAAGTATTTAAAAATTTGGCTCACATACAGATGTGAAAATAATTTTTTTGATTTGTCAACATTATTATGTAGAACGATAATAATTAAGTAACAATTTTTGATATCTCGCTTATTTAAAGGTCTTACATAATTATTTTGATAGTACAAAACGAAATTATTTTTGTACATAATAATTTTAAAGGCAACAAAATTATTTTTAGATTTGTATCTGATTTGTATCTCAAATTTTTAGATTTGCCAGTAAAAAATGTTCTCTCCATGTAATAATACATATAAGGATGTTTATACAAATATTTAACGTTATTAAATCAATATACCAGTGTGTATGAAAAACTTTTGTAAACACTTTTAATTTTTATAATTTTGTCAACTAGTTTTCCGTTATTTTATTGTTTTATTGTACTAGAAAAGTTTTTCTTCCTCTGGCTAAATTTTTAAATATTTCAACAAAACATTTCTTTCTGTGTACCCTTATTTTTAACGCAATACGTTGCGTAAAATCGTATTTCAACTAGGCAGACATGCGCGGCAAAATGGACACGGATGAGTAACTTGCTTTGATTAGTGCGAAGCCGATATTTAAACAAGTTATTCATTCGCGTTCTTTCGCGTTCGTTTGTTTGGATTGGATTTGGATTAAGCAGAGAATTTTTAACTTTGAGATAGAACTTCCGGCAATATGACCGAACGAGAGACTGATAACGAAATTTGTAGCAATAAAGAGTCCTTTGGGTTATTAGATTTGAATTCGTTGAATAATAGTTACAATACCTTTGAGGCGGCGATTCGTGTTTCGATATAATTCGCGCATTGCATACCAACTCGGTGGCAATTTTTCATCTCGTGCTTCCGAAAAATTCGAAAACCGCCAACGGCAAGCGAACAAAAACCCGGAAATTGAACGATGATTGCTATGACGAGGCGGATAAATGCCATACCAACGCTTTTTTTTTATTTTCTTCATATATCTGCGCGATTCGCAATTAAATTCAGTTTTCCGTTAGATTAAATTTTAAAAGAATTTTCGCCGGTCGCATGTCGAAAAAAAATATTCGACATTCGTCGCGCACAGCGTCCACAACTTTAAACGTTTTAGATGTCAGTAAATGCTAATTATGTTACCTGGTTAATTTCTACCGACAATCAGCAGATTTAATTGCGATTATTTTAATAAGTGGTGACCGAGGTACTCAAAAATAATTTAACAAAAATAATTTGAATATCGCGCAACGTCGCGACACGCCGTATGGACTTTTCGGTCGGATTGTTTATGGGAGAATTTGTCGGGCGGCTTCGATTAGTCGCAGTGAGCGGCCTGTAAAATTAATTAGCATCGTTAAGCGAGTCGAGAACGGGGAAATTGGCGCGGGAATTCTCGATCTGCGTATATTTTCTGCGTCCATTATCGGAAACACGACCAACGAGAACCCGAGCGACCGAGCGACCGACCGACCGACCGATCGACCGACCAATCAATCGACCGATCGGCAGAGTCTCCCTCAGCGGAGTATACCGACCTTCATTCCGGCCTTTACCACATTCCATGGTGAGTCCTCCTTTCGTCGCCTGACCCCATAAACTTGTACCACATCCGAGATGTACGTTCTCGGCGAGAAAACTTGTCGGAGACACACTCTCGAATTGTCGACGGCGATACGATCGGGGCAGCGATGTTGCGCTTTCGATGTCGCGGACCTTCGTCATATGGCATATCCAATGTTATTGTTATCAAATACATTATCACTTAATCGAAGTTATTTAAAAGGATATAAAGTGCGGAAAGTAGTTTTGCTGAAATATCTAAAAATTTGATATAAATTTACTAGATATAAATTTAAAAATAATTTATTGGACTATCAAAATTATTATGTAGAATATTAATAATTGATATAATTTGAATGCTGCAAAAATTTTATAAATTCTTTTTACAATTTTTTTCTGAAAAACTTTTTTATAACAATAATTCTGCAAAAATTTTTCATTTTTTTGACAATTAATTTAAAAATGCTGTATGATTGTTTTGATGGTTCAATGAAATTATTTTCAAATTTATGGCCAAATTTTTAGATAATTCAGCAAAACCGTGCTTTTCGTATAAATAATTAAATTTAATTCCGCGTAATGCGATTTAATTTTGTGAAAATAAAAATTTTTATTAAGTCCTGTTAATATGCAATGGTATAAAGCTGTAATTATTAATCTGATTATACGATTACGTTTAATGTAATAAGAATTAGAGAGAAACAAAGGATGAGAAATGGTCACGTTTGTCGTTAAATGTGCGATAAAGCCACGAGGCATTAAATTTACATTAGCATATATAGGCACGCAGTACTTTTTAATTGAATTCCTTTTCTCTCTCCCCCTTCATCTCTCTTGGCCGAGGAGGCCGCAGAGGAAAAGTTCAATTAAACGGTGCTGCATTTTCGATTAAAACTTTGTGGAGTAATTTGTTGTTAATGTCGACTATAAATTGTGTGATAAACTCTTTAAAATAAGCCGCGAGGGAGATTCTAGTTTTAGTAGTTTTCTAAGATACATATTAATATTTCAAATATAATATGACATAAAAATTCTTATGATTTGTATAAGCAGATTATATGAGCAAACTTATCTTGAAGATCTTCTAGAAAAATTAGTAATAAAGTTTTTTTATTATTATAGTTTAAATTTCAATAAATTCATGAAATAAATCAATATATATTTTATGTTAAAAACAATGTTTTCATATTTTTTTCCATTAAAATGTTGAATGCTTTGTATTGACTTTTATGTTGTAACAAAATTATAAATTAACATAATTGCGTTTTGACGTTATTAACGTAATGGCTTTTAAACTATTGAAAAATTCTATGGAAATAGCGTGCTTAGAGCGTATATTCTATTTTCAAATTATTAATTTGATACGTAATTCATTATTTTCATCTTATATATTTAATATCTAGTATCTAGTATATCTTATCTTTTTTTATAAATTAATAATATTTTTTGTTTTTTAAAATAGATTTTCGGAGAATATTCACAATTAAAAGTTTTTGTCTTATAGAAAAAAATATTAATTGCAAATATTTTCCTTCATGAAAATATTAAAAAATAATATTATTATTTTAACTTTTTTAAAATTCAAAATTATTTATTTGATATTTTTAAACAATGTAAATATAAGAAAAATGTTCATTTATTTTATACCATATAATCTAAACTTGTTCATTCAATATTCTAAATAGCATAGGAAAAATATATATTTAATTTATCAAATTATAATTTATGCTATATAATTCAAAACTATTTATTCCAAACAGTATAAATATAAGAAAAAACATACTTTTAACTTATATTTCCTGAAAGAACATTTATAAAAATTTACGATTATTCATAAAAGTACAAACGTTCTCCATCCAATTTCATGACGAATAAGGACCGAAAATTAATACCATTAATTAATACCGAAAATTAATACCATTAATTAATACCAAGAACATTAATTTTATCTCTCGCGAGACACACCTATGGACGTCCCGATATCTCCAAGCGGCATCATCACGCGGTTACAAACTGGCTGGAAGAATTTTATTTCCGCGTGCGCGCTCTCGTCGTCTGACTTCGATATGCGTTCGGGAATCACGGGGTGCGGGGCGCGAGTGGAGTGCATCGCCGGCAGCGAGGGAGGAGAGGGGAAAGAGTTATTATTTAAACTACTCTGTCTCGAAGACACAAAGGGTTAATAGGTTGAGAGAGTATACGAGTCGCGCGCGTGCCTACCCCGCCGGGCCTGGCCGAGCCGCGCCGAGCCGCCGCTCGGCAGCTCTCGCGGCCGAGTCGAGTCCCGCGCCAGTGATCTCGCGCGCGTCGTGTCGAGCGGGTTGTGTCTGTGACATCCGTCCGTCCGCGAGCCGCTCTGTGCCGACCCTCCCGAGTGCAGTACGTCCGGCAGTCCGATACGCCCGTCCGGTCTCTTCCCGCGTGATCCTCCGGACTCTTCTCCGTCGACTCTCCGCCGCGCGAGAAGGATCTCAGGTGAGTCCCCTCCCCCCCCCCCCGCGCAAGCCGTCCGGCCGGGAAAATTTATGACGATCGCGACACCGCGATATTCCCGGCGCGATCGGGAATGTACGTGAGCTCGCTCTCTCGGTGTTTTCGTAAAACGTTTTCTTAAAACTGCTTTTGCAGATACCGTCTACCTCCGATTTGTTGTAAAGTGATCAAGGCCCGATTGTACCGATATTATTTTTTCTTTAAGCGAGACTTAAATATGTATCTGTTTTTTTTCTTTTTATTTATTTATTTAGAAAGGAAGATAAACACAGACAGACACATATTTAAGTCTCGCTTAAAATTAAAATAATGTTGGTGTAAGCCTAAGACGAGAAATTGAAACTTTGGAGCTATCAATTTTGATCTGAATTATATTGAGGTGGAAAACGTGGAGAACGTGATGGTCTACAATTGTTTTAAATTCGAACAATTCGTAAAAAAAATATTTTACAACGGAACAAATTACGGTTACGATTGAAAAAGTTGCGGGAAAAGAGAAAGAATTTATTTTAATTTTTTTATTTAAATTGATCGTAATAATTCTCGATTCTCCAATACGCGCAAATGTTTTTTCTGAATATTATCATAATTGCTGTTAAATTACCTGATAAATAAATATATATGTTCTATATTTTTCTCTTTCTGAAATATGCGTCAGAGAAAACCTCTGTTGCTTATTTCTCATCTCAAACATCTTTCGCAAATATTGCGATATCCTGAATCACGCCGCGTAAACACGGTCTCCAGTGACGATTGTTATTAGACGTGCGCAATGTTTACAATCTTGTAGGGTTCTTGGAATTATTTCTACATGGGAGTCACGAGTGCGAAATACCGAAAGTTCTTTTTTTTTCTTCCCCGCTCTATTCTACCCTATTCTGTCGTGCGTGCTTTTTCCTTATTCTTTTGGGCGAATGCGCAAAAAGTACGTGCTGAATTTAAAAGTCTTGCAAAATGTGAACGAATTGTACAGTTTTATGCATGAAATATCTTATGTCGACGAAGGAGCTCGTCGATGTCCGGATATTTGCGAAGTCATGTCGGCGCGTTGTGAAACTAACGAGTACGGAAATACGGAAATGCGGAAATATATATTTCCGCGAGATAAATCGAAGAATTTAAAACTGCGCAAAATGTAAATCGTACGGAAAAAGTATCGCGAGTCCTCGTAGATATCAAGAAACTCGTTATTTCGTTAAAGAGAAGTTAAAATTAAAATACGGAAGGAAAGACGAAGAAAGAGAGATTATGTAATAGAAAATAATTACATTTAGGAAAAACCCGGATTATAAAATAGAAAATGGTATATTAATTTCGCGGATCGAGCGGAAGGATTAAAAAGTCGGAGGAATCGCGTTTCGCAAACCGCACGTCGCCTCGAAGATTCCGCTTGGATTACTCGCGAGGAAATCGATGACGCGTGCTGCATTTTCTCGGGACCGACATCATCGTCATCTCAAGGATGAATATTTCATCTCGCGAACGTCCCATCCAAATAAGAGGGAAAGGGAGAGACGCGGAACCGAAAGAGGAACATATTAAATTATGAATATTTCATCGACGGAAATCATCCGCGAACGATTCCGCGACGCCGATGGAACTCTTCCCTCGGATTTTCCACCTCGTTCCTTCCTTTTTTTCCTTTCCTTTTCTTTTCCTTCTTCTTCTCTATTTCATCGTTATGTCTCTTAAAGTCGAACGCGCAAAATGGCTGGCCCATTTCACCATTATCGGAGCGATGAAAAAAAAGAGAAAGGGGAAGGAGAGGAAAAAAAAGAGAGAAATGTATAAGCGCGAGGCCGAGTATTGAACGGTACCGAGTGTCAGTTGTAAATCGGAATTTATGTCCCGACAGATAATTTGAATTGAGCCCGGGGTCCATTGCAGCTCGTTATTCGTTGTTAACTCTTTACCGCGCGTGATTTCCGTCACGGTGTAAATTTCTTTCTCTTTAACCCGCCCGCCCCTGGCCGTCCCCCGACCTGTCGCGGCTCTGTCTTCGTCCGCGACGCGTGATTTTTAAATTCGCTACATCTCGCGGAGGATGCGCGCGAAATTAATCGAATCCCGAATTTAATCGAAATACGGGAGAGATGCCGAACTGAAACGTAAACATCGATTTTGCGATATATTGAAGATCAACTAACTGAAATATACGGGCTGATCTTTTATTATTATTTAACATACGCTCGTATCCGGAATTTTGCTGCGGAGTTTATAGTAGTTATTGATTTATAAAAATCAATCCCTTTTCAGAGTAAAATCTTTTTCACGGTTCTTTTTTTGTGTATTACATACAATTTAATAAAGAAAAAAAAATTAATAAACTGAAATTATTTATTTTTGTAAATTTTGTTTGTAAATTATGTTAATAATTAAACGAAAATAAGCTGAGTAAATGTGTGTGTTTTTTGCTATGGAGTTGTAGCGGTTATTGATTTATAAAAATCTTTCTCATGGTTTTTTAACTATTACGTATAATTTAATAGAGAAAAAAAATTAATAAACTAAAATTATTTTGAAAATTATATTTCTAAGTTATGTTGATAATTAAATGAAAATAGCTAAGTACGCGCGCGCGCGCGCGCGCGTGTGTGTGTGTGTGTGTGTGTGCTGTTAAACGAAGATACGCGATGGTTACGTATTCTTTTGAAATAGAAGAATCCTATCGAGATCCTACTTGTCGGATTGTCGGAAACGAAAAATGATAGGGCACACGATGAAAGGAGTTAAAGAATAGTTTCCTTTTCTTTCATTATTGCAATGAATATCGGCGCGCCCATATTCGTTTCTGCAGTCTCGCTTTTTTTGCATTCGAAGGTTAATTAACGTCCGTGAGGATTTCTTTGACGGCGCAGGATAAGGGAACATCATCGATGGATAAATAAAGCAAAAGGGTGGGGCCCTTTGAGGCGATAATTAAAGCTACGATGTAAGAGAGGAAGGGAACAGGAAAAGCACGAAAGAGAAGGGGGGAGGTGGAGGGAAGCTTTGAAAGTCAAGGATGTTTTAGCTCGCGGAGGAAAGAAAGAGATAAAACGGCTGCTTTGGAGATGCGTATGCGCTTTTTTTTCGCGCCAATTTACAGCTCGTGGAATCTCGTTTATAGAACTAGTTCTATAAGCCTTCCCTCCCTCCCCCTTTCCCTCATCTCGCTGGCCTTGAAAAAGGAAAAATATTGCGTCGGTAATAAAGTCGCTCCCCGATATTGCACGCGCGCTATCATCATTATTATGCCTCTGTGGAAGATGTACTGGAAAGAAAATGAACATTATATGTATA